GGGAATTTCCATAGCCGCTACATGCTTGGATGTTTTCCGAGTCCAACGATACCATGTGAAGCTCCAAAGATGGCTGAAAAGCGGAAAAGTGGAATTTTCCTAAAGCAACCAAGTCAAATCTCAAACATAATCAACAGCAAAACCCCAAGTTGGTCTTCCCAAATGCGCAAGATCCGACCTTTTGTAAGCCCTGTCCGTGGGTAAATATCATAACCATTTACATGAAAGTCAGACCGATCAACCGGTACGCCCAAACAATTTGGAAGAAAAGAGTGCAATTTATAGCCCGAATCGTTATCATCATGTTCGCTATAATAGCGTTCTATTGGGCCTCCTCGGCGGAGTTGGTTAGAGAAAGGTATGCGGTCCATGCAATTCCAACGGTTGAGACGAATGGCTGGGTTAGGAAGTCAGTGTGGGTCCTATCTCAACGAGACAACCTGGGAAACTCACAATCTGGAACTGAATGGGAATGACACGGAAGTTGAGGATCTGTACTGCCGGCCAGAGCACAAAGTTGGCTTTCAAGGTGGGCAAGTAGACATCACGGAACTTGTTTGTCAATGCCCTTCTACCACCACCCTCGGCGATCGTCATATAGGTGAAGAAGCACGCCAGACCTAGATAAATCAGCCCAATCCAAAAATATCCCAAAGCAGCTAGAGGCAGACCATACCGAATGGCGCAAAAATCAACTGGTCAAACGCGACACGCTTGAAAACGGGAGCCGTCGGGTTCATCTTAGTGAGCGGGAATGCTCTGGACAAGAATCCGAACCACTGAAACTGCAACGGCGCCATGAGGAAGCCATAAGACATGAATCTCGTCAGACGCTCGAAATCGAAAGATGGCGACGTATTCCGGGCATATCCCAGTTCCCCTGCAGCAGGGACCTTATTCTTGTCAAAGTCGGGGATCTCTATCGAAAGGAACTCGTCGCCGTTCGCCAGAGGTCGGCGGGTCCGGAAGGCCGTAATCAGCTGGGCAACGGTATCGGCAACACCACCAAGCACCTATATCATCCATTTTGTCAGTTATCCGCCCATACATTGTTCAATATCGCGACAAGCTTACGGCGTTGGTGACCATCGTCGTGAGCACTATTGATAGCAGTGATGTCAGTCTGTGATCTCGCGGCAACCGGCGGCATGAGGCTTACCTGGCCTTTCAGCATAGTAGGTATTAAATTTCGCAGCAATACGTGCTGCGACTGCCATCTCGACGAGGAACACAATGGTATGCAATAAAGGCTAGAAGGTGATGAGAGGTTAAGCGCTGTAAACAAATTGGGAGGAAACAGAATGCCAGATCTCAGCAAGGGGGAGCTAACATACCACGCGACCGTAAATGTATCTCTTATTTAGTCCATCCAGGACTTTCCGCTTCGCAGAGCAGATCATGTTGAAGGATGACGACTGGAGCAGAGTGATAAGCAGGATTTCTGGGAAGGAACTAGTGCGCCAGTATGACGCAAAGATCAAGGTGCAAAGTACCGACTCCACAGGTAAATATGAGCTGTATATTAAGCCCAGCCCCCCAAAAGAAAATCGTAGATAAGATGATATCGAGGAAAGAAGCTCCAAATTCCCTTGGTCTCCGCCTTTGTGACTAACAAAGTCACCTGGCCAACTACTACGTGAGTCGATTACCCTGTCATCTCCCACCAATCACGTTTGGAATATATGTCCACGGGTATTTTGCTATATCCACTCTATCCTATATAAGTACATACATTGAGTTGGATATGAATTATTCTATATAACTGCATTTCAGCCATATGTCCACCGGTTTGGACAGTTATGAATACTTTTCTTTGTCAACACTGTCCCCCTGGGGCCCCGGGGGCCAGTCTTGGCATTCTCGGTTTCCACCTTCCGAGTGTGGATCATTGTAGATCGCTGTTGTATACCATACTGTGAACAACAAAGTAATACATGTAGTATACCACCATATCTAATAATCACCATCTATGGTAAAGCTGGGTGATAGAGATACATAATAGACTCACTTTCTGTGAACGAATTTGTCCATAAAAAATAAACTCTGAAACTACTGATATATATATTGGTGGAACATCCTGGAGTCTTGGCTAGAATATGTCACCTATTTAAAATTAATAATTTATTTAGCTTGGGTTTATATAGCTCGGTAGTAGCCCCAGAGCCATCTTCGAGTACATTGTATGGAGTAATGGTTCTATTATCCTATAGAGGATAGAAAGATCACCGCCGATGTAGTTTGATATCACTTGCGCCTTTCTCTACATACAATATGCATGGTGTTGATCGTAGACAAATATCTCAATTTAATCCCAGGCTGCATTTAGTCACTATCAATCCAGAAGACCCGATGTTATTGTCATTCACTCTGTTTCCATTACAAAGTCAACAAACCGAGGTTATCTACAAAGGTAGAAGGGAAATCCATAAATACAGGCCTTTATTACATGTATAAAGGGATTATACAGCTTTACAATTTACTTCTGATGACTCCTATCATTAATAAAGTTGCAATAAGATCGGGGATACGGAATGGAGGCGTCTCGCGCTTGTCGGCAGAATATGCAGTCTCTATATCGGGCTTTTTGTGTACGGAGATAGGCTCTTCGGCGGATGCGCTATGGTTAGGAGTCGCTTCCTCCTGCGCATTCCCTTTATCAGAGCACATAGGGGTGGGAGTGGAGACAAAGAGTGTCTGAATTGCTATCCTTCATGGAGGGAAGTCTTCTATATCACATAATCCTGAATCATCCGATACACTACTACAATATATAATTGTCTGTGCTCTGCCAAGGCAGCTCGATGAGCTTGAGGGAACATCAATGTAACATTTTCAACCTAGTCTAGTACCCTACTAGAAACGTAATCTATTACCAGGAATGGTCATATTTTTTTATATATTGCTAAAGTGGGCAACATTGCTGCCGGTTTTTATACTGCATTATCATAACCCTGAATTTGTCTATATATACGGGTCTGTATATCTCGAGCTAGTACCATTGACATGGACAGCTTCGACTACTTCTGAGGCTTGATTGCAGTCGGAGCCTCGACATAATCGAAATGACCCAAGCCCGAGAGGAAGGACACGTGCTGTGGACCCTGGGGCATAAAGCCACCCAAGTTGAGGAAGTTGTGTGGGAAGCCGAGATCGAACTCGTAGCCCTTGTCAACCTCTGCCACATCCTCGGGAGTGAGCTCCAGGCTCAAGGCCTCGACATTGGCCTTGAGATGAGAGACTTTGTTTCCGCCAACCATGGGGAAGATATACGGAGCCTGAACCGGTTAGTGAAAGAAAGATTCATGACATCAATGTATATTTTACCTTCTGCAGTGCATAGGCAAGTGCAACGGACGTGATGGGGACTTGATGGCGCTTGGCGACAGCATCTAAGGCGGCCGACACCTGTTCTTCGCGGCCCGTCTTGACATGAGGCGTTTGACGACCACCCTCCTTGGGGGCGGCATCGGGTGAGCGGAAGTATCCTATAGTCATTAGTAAAAAAAAATATGTTCATGGTGGAGAAAGACATACCACTGCCGAGGACACCCCAGGGGTGAATAGCCATGCCTTCATCCCGAGCCATGGGGATGATATCACGCTCGAGATCGCGCATCATAGCCGAGTACCGACCCTGATAGACCGAGAACGGACGGAGACCGTGCTCGCGCGCATAAGCATTAGCCTTGGTGACGACCCAAGCGGGCGTGTCGCTGATTCCCAGATACAGGACCTTGCCCTGCTGGACGAGGGTATTGAGTGATTGCATCAGCTCAGGGATGGAGGTGGCAAAGTCCCACGCATGAACATAGTACAGGTCAATGTACTCGACCTGAAGACGTTTCAGGCTCTCGTCGACAGCCACGCGCATGCTCTTGGTGCCCGTGCCACCGTAGTTGCTCTGTTGCACGGACTTGCCGAAGATCGGGCTAAGCGTGTACTTGGTTGCGAGCACGATCTCGGATCGTCGGCCCGTCTTCTGCAGCCACTCGCCGATCCACTCTTCACTCTGTCCAAATTGGTACATGTTGGCGGTGTCGATGAAATTACCTCCCAGGTCGTAGTAAGCGTCTAGGAGCTCGAATGCCTGATCCTTTGTACATTCACCCATCATGCCTTTCCAGTTGTCACCCAGACCTGGATAACTGTTAGTATGTTTTTTTTGATAGGAAAAAAAAAAAGAGTTCTTACTCATGCCGCCTAGCGACAGCGGGCTGACACGCACCGACGCCGAGGGAGCCAGGAGACGGTGGCGGCCCAGGACACTCTTGGGAGGAGGGGGTGGAGGAGGCATTTTCTTAGATTGGATTGGTTTGGATGTGAGGTTTGTTGTAATAGTTGTAGAGCTACTCTGAAGTTTCAATTCACTTAATCTTGCTTTTCGAGGCTTGATTCGAATACCACAGCACAGAGGGGAGAAAGGCATCGCCTTAATAGTTTGAAGCCGTAACCCATGGTCGGATGGTTAATCCCTTTTGAGATTTATTTTGGTGTTGCATCGGCCGCAAATGCCTAACTCCTTGTCTTTCCCTTTGTTGTAGTTGCAGTGCTTCTGTCGGGGTCCGATAGTGCATGGCTGGGTCGGGTTTTGCCGGGTTTTGCACTGTACAGGCGACTAACGTACCCCTGTCACCAGCGTCCGGTTTTTGGGTTAACGACGCATTCCTGTATCAAGCGCTTAGCAATCCAAGATCGGTATTTGGGATTTAACTAACTCCGGTTTCTCTCTCTGGTCGAAATAAACCGGGGTACGATGATGCATGAAGGTCGGCATTAGCAACCCCTGTCGGGGTGGCCAACTCTTGTTTCAACTGCTTAGAAATCAAGCCAATGAATTATTTTTGATTAAATTTACGATAAATTTTATGAACTGGCTGAATCTAGTTAGGTAGATTCATTTACTTAGAGCTCTAACATTGTATCTTGTGGTAAAATAGATAGTGCAAATTGAGGCAAAGACCGAAAGATGACTATGCGTAATCTAAAGACGTAACGATGGATTATTTCCTGGTCCCCAGAACGAGCACCACGGAAAAGGTGACCTTCTGCTTTCCGCCCATCGCTGCCCGAAGCTCCTCGCACATCGCCTCAACCTCCGCATAGCTTTCCCCGGCTTGGCCCCGGTAGTGGGGGTACACCGAGTCAAGGTAGGCCTTGACATTGTCAGCATCCCACTCGTGTGCCCAGAAGTCCCGGTCCACGATGTCATGGGTGATATCGCCCTCTCCGCGGCGATCGACGGGGTGAAATTCAAAGTCGAACCCATCGGGACTGTTGAACAGCAGCGGGTAGTCGCAGTTCCACTTGTGGCGCTCCACATTCTCCCAGTCGCTCGCCGGTAGGGCAATGTTGTCTAGGAAGCTAACGAGACCTTCAGCTCCGCGTCGGTGGAAAGGTTCACCCGGGGTTCCTTGGAAGGGAAGCAGGAATTGGCAGATGCGTGTCGCCATGCGATCGTAGATTGCGTCGCACACCGGGTCTTGGAAGATAGGGCGTCCGTAGAAGTAGATGGCGACGGTTCCACCGGGGCGAATCAGGGTGTGGAAGGCCTCCAGGGCTCTGGGGGCATCGAGGAGGGGCATGCATTCGCTAACGACGAGGAGGTCCGTATTCTGCAAGTTCGTGGGGATACCAGCAGTGACGAGACCCTCAGCGGGACTCCGGACGAAGGTCATTCTCTTCAGGAGGTCCGGCGAGATCAGCTTCGGTGCTGCGTCCAGGGCCTGCTCGTTCACATCCGAGCCCACCACTTGATCATAGTACCGCGCCAGTCTTGCCGCGATATTTCCTGGTCCCGTGCCCACATCGTGTGCCACTTCCATGCGACTATCACCGTGGCTCGCATGGTATTCATTGATGAGGCGGAAGAAATCTTCTGACGGGCTGGGACGTGACGCAATGTAGGATTCCCAGAATGAGGCATCGCTGCCTAGGGCAGCGGTGGTGAAAGGCGTCTCAAGCCGAGTCGATGTCTGTGACATGGTTAGATTGAAGAAGGTTACTGGAGTTGACTGTTTCTTTTTCTAGTGAAGCAGAGATTGTAATGACCGTCTAGGCTAGAGGTCTGCATTTTATAGATTTAGTCATGTTTCCGAAAGGAGCCCTGGAGAATGTCGAGAACGGTGTTCAATTAAAACCGGACCCCGAGCCCTAGGCATCTTCTCTCACTGAGACTGCTGGTTTTGGTGCGCCTTGCATCAATACGCGGATTATTTTTATGGATCTCCCAGCCTGTTTTAGTCTAGATAAATTTTACAAAATATACTTGTACACCATAGGCGAGGGATTGTCAGCTCCCTGGCTTCAATACCCATACAAATCATAGACATCAAGACTACCCCGAATATTTGTCTTGGCCATATATCTATATTCGAAAGTTGTAGTCATATCTCCGACAATTGAAGGATTCCCGAAAGGAAATTATAAATCGGATCCCGAGTCCTGGATATCTTTTCTTATATAGACTATTGGATGTAGTGAGCTTTTGATATAGGGACATCGATACCAAAAAGTGACTTCCATTATGTTCATACAACGACTCCTACTTCTGGGGATCTTCCTGTGGCCCGTCTCGGCCCGGCCGAAGTGTGTTCATTCACGACATGCGAGAGATTGCTGGCTCCCTGGATTCGATATTAATACCGACTATGAAAAGAAAATTCCCCCTGGTAAACTAGTTGAGGTAATGCTTTTCATTCCTCTTATGACTATGATTCTCATTTTGGGCTTCTACAGTACGACCTTACCGTGTCCAACCAAGTCATCTCTCCGGATGGATACCTGAGCGATGCAATGGTGGTCAATGGTATGTGAGCTTTTATTTATAGTTCCTATCAATGACTAACCCCCATAGGGCAATTCCCCGGACCAACCATTGAGGCCAATTGGGGCGACACTCTGCGTAAGTATGTCGATCTCTTTTGCTGCATGGAGCTAAACATGGGACAGGGATCACCGTCCATAACAACTTGACCAACGACAATGGCACCGCCATACACTGGCACGGAATCCGCCAATCCATGACAAATCATTTGGATGGGGTTCCAGGCATAACTCAATGCCCAAGCAAGGTGGGACTTCAAAATTGCAACCGACCTCGGCATCAAAGGGCTGACTCTCTTTTAGCCAGGATCGTCGCAAGTCTACGAGTTCAGAGCCATGCAGTACGGCACCTCGTGGTATCATTCCCACTTCAGTATTCAGTGTAAGAGATATCTTATCATTTCCTCTACCAGGTTGTTGACTAACGAAACTTTCCAGACACGAGTGGGGTTTATGGTAAGGCACTGCACTTGCCAGATGGCGAATAGTAAATACTAACGCAGACAGGGGCGATGGTAATCCACGGACCAAGTAGTATGGACTACGATGTCGACCTGGGGCCGATTCTCATAAGCGATTGGTACCATACCGATGCTTTCGAACTGTATCCTATCGAGATCCTGACACCAGAGGCCCCCCTCCCAGAGAGTAATGTCATGAATGGCAAAGGAGTCTTTGATTGCGATCCTGTCAAGGACCCCAGATGTACTGGAAAGCACGAGCGACACGAGATCACCTTTAAAAAGGGGACCACATACAAACTTGGCTTGGTGAATGGGGGAAGTCTCCTCACGTACAAGTTTTGGATTGATGGGCATAAATTCACAGTCATCCATAATGACTTTGTGGCCATCGAACCGTATGAGACGGATGTTTTGATCGTTGGCATCGGTATGTTACGTACGCCCTGTATCTATGTTTAAAGCTGACCAATTTCAGGACAACGCTATGAGATTCTGATCGAAGCGGATGCCGATTTCACCCACGGGACCAACTTTTGGATGCACGCCAACTACTGTGACATTGACACTTGGGAGTCCCGACTTGGCGTCATCCGATACGATCCCCGGAATACCAGTGATCCCTATACGCCTCCTGTGAGCGAGCGGCACTACGGATTCGGTTGTCAGGATCCCCCACCAGAGAAACTCGTTCCTATTGTGAAGAGGCAGGTGGGTAGAAACGTGAACAGCTTCGATACACCTGACTACCTGCGCATTGGATTACAGGCGTGGCCCAACGTGACGGATCCCAACTCACGCATCCACACCTGGCTCCTAACCAACCGGAGCATGTATATTGACTGGACCGATCCCAGTATCAAGAAACTCACCTTGGACGCCGATCCTGAATTCCCACCCGACACGACACCCATCACGCTAGACTTCCCGACTGGGGACTGGGTGTACTTCCTCATCCTGAACAACTACACTTTAAGCGATGCTGCCACGCCCCGAACCATCCCTCGGTCGGTCCATCCTATCCACCTGCACGGTCATGATTATGTCATTCTGGCCCAGGGCGAGGGACCCTTCCCCGACGACTTGGTTCCCAATCTGGATAATCCTGCCAGGAGAGACGTGGCCAATTGTCCCATTGGGGGGTATCTCTGGATTGCTTTCCAGATCAATAACCCCGGTGCCTGGCTGATGCATTGCCATATTGCTTGGCATGCCAGTGCGGGACTCGGCCTCCAGTTTCTTGAACAGCCCAGTAAGATCAAACCCCTGATGAAGAAGGCCGGGGTATTGCCCGAGCTGGAGCATCAATGTAACGAGTGGACGGAATGGTATAACACCCAGAATATGAAGCATAACACGACGCAGGAGGATTCAGGAATTTGATTTGGGACTGTGTATGTTCAGATATTTGACTGCTTCTGCATTTCAGAGAAGCATTAAATCTACAAGTCTATGGGTACCCACGCTCCCTCCAGGGCGCTGGTTAGTTAGAAACTTGTGTTGAAGATATTATATGAGCAAATACAAAGACCTCCCTTATCACCATCACCATTTCCATGTATTCATCAGGAACATAATGAGGCTAGAGTAAGAAAAGAGTAACAGAAGCGACTAATTTGTCGAGGCTACATTCCTAGCCATAGATATAGATGGCTTTTACGAGCAAAGAAGAAAGAAACTGACGAAGCCGTGAATCAGGCTCTACATGGGGGATCAATAGAAACATGAGAACAGACATCCATCTGTTAACTTACCTTTACTTCCTGTCAGATTCGGTATCTTACCTTTCGGTGTTATGTTTTCTCGTATTTCCAAAGGGTGAGATCGGGGAATCTCCTATACGAGCCCCGAGGGCAAATGATGACACCATCGGTCACCGAGTCCCTCGGACCCTCCAGGGCTCCTTCGGAACCTTGGAAGGTTTCCCCGGGTTCTGGAAGCCGATTGTTCCTGCATCCACGTGTACGAACACGTGGAACTACCCGTACCCGATCTGTACATTCGTGCCTGCATCTATATATAACCCAGACACAGGAATGGAAATCCAATATCCAAAGAACAAAACAAAATGAAGGCCCTTTTCTTCCAAGGCTTGCTCGCCATCATCGCGGCAATCCCAGCCGTAGCTCGGCCGCATCCAGACTCTAATCCAGACTATGTAATTGTTGGTGGAGGGCCCGCTGGCTTTGTCCTGGCCGATCAGCTCTCGCAAAACCCAAATACGCAGGTAATTCTGCTGGAGGCCGGACATGATGGCATCGATGACAAGAACATAAACAGTGGGTTTCAGGTCCAACAAGTAGTGAAGAGTTACATCTAATCTTATTCCAGCTCCTGCATACTATCCTCTCATCTCTGGATCTTTCTGGGAGTATTCATCTCAGCCAGACCCCAACCTCGACGGTCATGCACCAGGCCTCCAACAGGGCCGGGTCTTTGGAGGGGGTACAGCGGTCAATGGCATGGCTTACTGCCGAGGCTCTGCCTCTCTCTTCGATGAATGGGCCCAACGGTCAGGCAATCCGGGGCTGGCATGGAACTCGCTGCTAGAGGATTTCAAAGCCACAACCCATTATACCGACCAACCAGCCGACTATCCCCAGATTGTCAACAAGTCTGCTTACGGCAAGGGACCACTGGAAGTCAGCCGAGTCGCGACAGGCACGGGCTTTGACGAACCCTTTGCGCAGGCACTGGAAAGCTCCCTCGGCGTGCATGAGGTCGATCTGAACGACGGAACCGGACTGGGTTTGAGCAAAGGGCTGCAATCAATTCGCGCTTCTAACCGCACACGGTCCTATGCACGCAATGCCTTTGGTTTCCGGTTAGAAACCAGACCCAATGTCCAAATGATCTCAAACGCGTGGGTACAGCGCATCGGATTCGCCGGCCACAAGGCCATCAACGTCACCTACCTTGATACCGTGTCCAATAAGGTCCACGTGCTCCCCTCAAAGGAGATCATCGTCAGCAGCGGAGCAATCAACACACCCAAAATATTGAAACTTTCGGGCGTCGGACCCGCCGCGGAGCTCTCCGAGCTAGGCATCCCCGTCGTGGCAGACATCCCTTCTGTTGGGGCCCAGCTCTATGACCACCAATTCGGAGTCGTCGAGGTTGAAGTCACGAGTGACATCATGACCGTCTGGCAATGGGCTACGAATTCCACTGAAAAGGCCCTGGCAGAGGAACAGTACAAGACCGATGCCTCGGGTCCCCTGGCTCTAGACAACGGACTACTCTTCGCCACCTTCCGCGTGCCAGACTCCGTCTTCGATGGCATCGATGGCTCCCACTATACCTCCTTGCCTGCAGATCGCCCGCATGTTCTGATGGAATATAGTACTGTGCCCTTCATCGCAACCACTCCCAACATCAGCACTGTCACGGCGTGGGCGAGTCTCGTTCAACCCGAGGCCGCCGGGACCGTGACTCTCAACTCCTCCGACTACCGCGACGCCCCGATGATCAACTCCAATTACTACGGTTCCCCGGCTGACAAGGCCGTTATGCTTTGGTCTTACAAGAAACTGCGCGAAATTATGGCCTCTGATCCCCTCAAATCGGTCGTCATCAAGGAGTGGTATCCCGGCCCGAATGTCACGTCTGATGAGGACGTCTGGTCTGCCATCCAGAAGCAATCATTTTCGTTCCACCATCCGGTCGGCACGGTTCCTATCGGTAAGTCTCTGGACAAGAACTGGAGACTGAAGGGTCTGAAGGGCATCCGCGTTGTCGACTCCAGCACCTTCCCATATCCGCCGACTTGTCATCCGGAGGCATCGGTGTATGCGCTAGCGCATCGCGCCGCGGCAGATATTCGCCTAGCAGATAGACGTCATTGATTATCATTAGTTACTATACACCGTACAGTTGTTATTACAGATTTATCGGGGTCCGATATCGTTCGATGGTCAGTGTAGAGAGCTATTTTGTGTATACGTATGGAATCTTCCGAGATATCGGGGTTCGATGTCGGGCTCCGGTGATCGTACGATTCAGTATTTAGGACATTTATATACCTAGACCGGATACATAAGAAGTTTAGTTATGCGCCTTCCCTCTGGTGATCTCAATAAACTGATTCAAATCGAAAACTACGCACAATGTCATCGACAGCTCTCTCTCCCGTACCGTCCTACGATATCTCAAACCTATCCGACGAGCGTTCCAGGACCCTGCATGCTTTGCTTCAGCAAGGCCATGGGGAAGTTGCCCTACTGCTTGGACCAAAGCTCCTCTTTCACAGTCATGTTCCCCATGTAAGTCATTGCTTATTCTTTATCATATTTTTGGCTAATCAATTTAGAAACTGGGATCCGCCTACTGTCTTGGTGCCTCTGTCGACCAGATGAGGGAGATGTATCAGACTGAAACGGTGGGACTAAACTACGAGAAAAAAGAAGATAATGATCTCTTTACCCGGGAGGCTGTTACTCGTGAGAGTTGGCAGGGCTTGATAAATAACAAGACGTATTTTTATCATCTTCAACATTCCGAGTCCCATCTAATCCAGCTCTTAGCTATACCCTCTCTTTCACCGAATTCTTTGATCAAGAAGTCTCCCAGAGCAATGGAGACTGGAAATCAGTGGTCAATCAATATCTCTTTGACTCATCCAATCCATTGATCAATGGATTTATCGGTGGCTGTTAGTTTAGTACTATCCTCTCAACGAAAGAGTAAACTAACCAATTAGTGGGTCATCCCTTGATCCATCTCGCCTACGCCTACGAGCTCCAATGTCCTCAGGTGGCAACTGAAGCACTCAGTCTGGCCTGCACAGAGCGGGACTATACGTTCAGATTCATGGACCTGCCACCCTCGGGTGTGAATTCCTCCCTCAAGGAGATCTTGACGAAAGTCCACGTCGACCCCCGCTTCGACAATCTGTTCGATCTCCCCGGCTACGCCAACATCTTCGCCGTCTTTGGTGCAGCAGAATCCGCTCTCTTGGAGCACTGGCAGGCCTGGGAGGTCAGCGATCCGGACCGCCAACTGGAGGAAATTCTCGACCTGGCGGTCTTGCTAACCATCTCGACCCCAACCCCGGAACATGAATACGACTTTTATTTTGCCCATATGTTGACGGTGGGACACGCTATCCGAGTGCTTCTGCCTCACTTTCCGTCGGAGTGGGTAACTCCTGTGATCCGGCAATATTGGATGTTTGTGTTGTATCTGTATATTGCCCAGTTGAGGCCGGATATTTCCCATCTGACGTTGCCGTCGGTCGTGGAAAACGAGAAGGATTGGGATTATGTGACGGCCCAGGCTTTTGTTGGGGAGTTTGGGTATGACTCCCATCGTCTGAAGGTTTTGAGGGCTTTGAAGGTTGCCGAGGAAACTTGGGGCTGGAAGAATGGTCAGTATCTGGCGAGTGCCGTTCAATTTCTTCAGGATTTTAATGGGTGGACGGGCTTTGGGATGGGAGTTGATGGGGTTGAATAGCTGCACCTAATTGGAATTTTGAACGGCTTCTGCACAGTTCATGGATAGATAGGTGTCATCAACCTTCTGTCTGGGCGCTATAAACAGCCCCAAGGTTGGATCGCGATGCAAAGTGTAAGGGACCTTTTGGCACTGAGATGATCCCCTCTTACGGGCGCATACAGCGCTAAGTCTGACAGGGGACTATACATAGGAGATTGCCTAAATTATCGCTTTATAGATTATAAACATCACGTCTGGAAGCTTTGGAATTATGGCGACACTTCCCGCAACGCTGTTTGGGCTTATGGCTTGATACCCGCGAGATGAATGCACTTGATGTGAATTTGACAATCTCTACAATCCATAAGAAGGAAGCCATACTGGCTGGTTACTAGGATAAGATCACAATCGCAAGGGGCCGATTGGAATCTGCCGTCCTTCGTTTTGTGGAAGTTGGAGAAAGTTGGAGGATGTTGGCCCAAAGGGCTGACGGATGCCTTTACTTCTACAATAGGAAATTGCGCTCAACGAGTTGTATAGACAACTGCTCCGATTCCACCGACATGATTTACAACGCTTGATAGGGAAAGATGAGAAAAACATGTTCTAACTGAATCCAATTTTCACAATTAAGCTCCCGACTTAGGCAAATAAGCATGCATCCAAGGAAAGTAGTGGCTTAACAGACCACACAGGATAGTCAAGGGCGTTCCCGACGGGAAAGCAGCACTCCGTCCCGTGTTAACGACACTGACATTCTTCAAATCATATCGACCATCGACATCCTCAACAGCCTCGACCATAGCCGCAGCCAGGTCAATGTACGCGATAAAAGATGACTCATTGTCAAAGTCCAGCCGATACCCCCGCGGCTGATCGAGTGCCAAACCACCAGGCTTGATATAGATTGTAGTCAACCAGTCCTCCTGCTCACGCAGGAACTTTTCCTGAACGCGCAGGTCGTCGTAGACGTAAGATCCGGCGCGGATCATGATAGGATGGAACCACCACGGCATGTTGCGCGACAGGTGGGGATCGATAGTGGCGGACGAGAGAACTACCAGCTTGGGCATGGGTTTTGGGTTCATCTTCTTCAGAACGGAAACCACCCCACGGGCTGTGTCCTCGGCCACTCGACACCCGGGTAGATTGTCGTTCATTGTGACGACGAGGAAGATAGCCTTGCATCCGCGGATGCAGTCGCCCAATAACTTTTCATCGCTGATTGAGCCTGCGAAGACTTCAACTCGAGGGTCTTTGACCTCGTCTGGGAGTTTTTTCTCTAGTTTCGCCTTGTTGCGGCAGTAGGCGTGGACTGAGGCATTTGGGTTCTGAAGTAGAATCTGGATGAGGGAACTGCCGCAGTTTCCTGTTGCTCCGAGGATGGCATAACTAGAGGTCATATTTTCTCATCAATTGGGGTGAGATTGTTGGGCGGAATGCGTGTTGAAGCACTCGCGATGGCTTTGTAGAGTATCATGGTGCTCTTCATTCTCGGTTGGCTTGCATATCCATGTTAAACGGAGTCCGGTAAGTTCGGGATAATAATCCTGACATTCTTGTCCCTCTCACTCAATCAAGCGGTTTGGAAATCAGGTAATCTCAGAAACTAAAATTACCTTGAATTGGTTGGTCGAGCTGCAAGGGGGAACATTGTCGGGTTCCGATGGTTAGGTATCGGATCCCGACATCGGTCATTGAAGTCGGGCTCTCCACTTGCTACTGCACCGTAGTGCTTGAACTTGGATTAAGGAATGATAATTGTATATTCTGACAGTACCTAGGTAAATACATGGAGAAACTTTGGACTATCTAGATTTGTAATCATCAAGTCTGAAAAATTCAGTTGAACTGGCGCAATGTCCCAACCCAGCCCATCATCACCCCTGTCAAGGGCAGAAGAGCCCTTGTTGTGTGCAGTAGAGTCCACTTCTTGACAAGATCTACAGCAACATCAAAAGCCACGACTTGTCCTGCATGGTTTGCGATCTGGGTGGCGAAGAGCGTAGTGTTGGTCGGCAGCATTACGGTCCAGGTAAAGGGCAACATGCTCATAGTAGTCAGACCCGCTAGTGCAAAGATGCGCCATGGACGGCCGGCCTTTCTCTTTCGTGTCACCGTCCAGGCGTAGAGGAGACCGGTAGCTATCGACAGCGCGGGTAAGACTCGATGACCGTAGTGGTACACTCGAACCCATTGATCGACCAGGTGTGTTGGTTCTGGGGTTGTGTCGAGGAGAACCGGAATAGTCAGAAGAGAGATATTCATCATTGCACCTAGTCTCTGTTAGTCGTAATGTGTATAATTGAAATCCAAGAATTATGCTACATGCCTGAGAGGAAAGATCCTGTGATGACGGCAAGGGCTTCAGCCCCGATGTCAGGATGGATTTGAAATACCATGATGTATAACAAGGCTGAGCGAATAACCGAAATCAAAAGAAAATTGCTCGAACGGTTATCTGAGCCATGTACATGTAAATGTAAAAGTGAAAACGGAATTTATATTTAAATCAAGATCGGACTAAACAGCCTTCCCATCCCTGACAAACTCCTCCACCCACCCAATCGTCATCCTTCAATTGTTAGTCAAAGATTCATTCCACCGGAGTAATTGACCTACTGGCTCTTTTTGGTATCGGCAAAGTTTTCATGATCACCGACCAAATGCTCCTTGTACCAGGGATCCTGCTTCATGCGCTTGTAGTCCTCAATGTCCCTAAACACCGCCTGACTAAAGCAGTCATAGCCCACCACATTGGCGAATTGGGGGTCGAAGAGCTGTGCCATAAGAGCACGGGTGGCGCTGGTGTTGTGGATCTGTGGAATCAGCCGGTGTCCGAGCCTTTGAGCAATTCCCGATCTCACCTGTGTCCAGCGCACGATTCCATATTTGGCCATCAAGTCCTTGGTCATGGGTGCCGAGATCTGTGTCATGTGGTGTCGGTAGGCCTCTTCACTCATTCCCGGCTTTCGGTAACCACAGATTGTGAGGCAGAGCAGCTTTTGACTCGATTGGCCCAAAGCTTGATTCTCGAGGGAGCTATCTTGAGTGGCCATTTTGATGATGTGGTTGCTTGTGGATTGGACTGGAGGAAATATTAACACCTGCCTTTAAAAGATTGCGATTCGGGGATCTTTCTAAGCGGAATCCGATCCTACTACTCCATTCCCCGGCCATGTTTATCCAAATCCGAAAGGTGTCTCTCGCTCACATAGCGAGAGAATGTTGGGGTAGGCACTATAGCCATAGAGGTGTATTCCTATATTTGGTTGTATCCATATTACAACCCTAATTGGGATGCAATCGAAGACGGAAAATACAACTTCTGGTTCCATGATAAATTCAAATTCATCCTATTTAGTAGCAATATGTATGAAAGAAGAACAAAAAGAATATAAATACAAATAATATTGGAAAACTAAATACCAAGGGCAAACCATTTCTTCTCGCCGCCTCGAAGCTCAAAGGCTACCCGGCCATCCTCGGCCAACTTTCTCAAAACTTCATCCATGAATGGCTCTAGTGCCTGCTGCTTTACCTCATCGGCAATACCCTCTCCGTACATGGTAGTGACCAACCCTTTGACCGTCACACTGGCCATCTTTCGTCCGTATTGTCGTCGGATCTCGGTCAGCGTCCGTAAGACCTGGGCTTCCCGTCTTTTCTTCTGCGCCAGCTCCACTGTAATCTTGCCCGGGAGATCGGTGATGACAATACCATGAGCGGGGTAGCCAGTGGTACATCCCTGGGCCTGCATTTTGTCCAAGGATGCCATGTACACGCCGAGTTCCTCCACGGCGCTGCTCCCATGGCCCAGAACGTTGTCTCCCGTGAACATAGCATTTTCCTCCTCGAGTACAAAACACATATGATCATGGGAGTGTCCTTGCGCATGGACCGCACGAATGGTGGCGCCTTCCACTGTGAATCGCTGGCCGTCCTCAATAGGTCGTTGGTTCCGTCCAGGCGTGTTCTTGTATATAGACTGCGACAACTCTGGGTAAAGCCGAAGGAGGTCCGGAACACCACCAGTATGGTCACCATGCCAGTGTGTGAGGAAAACATGGGACAGAGAGATAGAGTTCTCGACCAAGGTCGACGAAATGATATCAGCCCATTCTGGGATGCCCTGAGCCGTGTCGATGATCAGTCGGTGGGAGCCTGTCCCTACAATATAGGTGTTTGTTCCTTGTAGGGTGAACTGAGGGTATCAGCCTCTTCTCCCATAGCGATCTAATATTTAGCTTAGACATACCTTTCCAGGGTTCTGTCCCAGGACTCGCATTACGCGAGGAGTAAGTTGTTCCACATTGGCCAGGTCAGGTAAACGGGCGTGCTGCGTGAGAAGATAGTGTTCAAAGGCGCCGATATTCAGCGCCTTGTTGATCTGACGATAGCCACCTTCTCCCATGTTTCTCTGTTGAACGAGTTGAACGGAGGGGAGAGAGTCAGACCTGTCAAGAGGAAGGTCATTGTCATCCCCCATGTCCGATACGACATCAGTGCTGACCCCGAAGACCGTCTACCCCGAACCTCTCGCATACCGAATGAATCCTGATTATCATTGCCGAGCCCATCTATGATTCAATAGCAGTAATCCCCGGTGTCGGAATACGTTACTTATTCGAGATAGTCGCCCGCGTGGCAAGTCTCCTACATATGAACTATTGCCTTTCCCCTCTAGACACTCTTTCCAAGCCTCAAATCCTTTTTATTCTCTTCTTCTCTTATTTGCCTATCTTCTGCCCCCTCGTGGATGATCCTTCGTCCTGGATTCTCGCTCACGTAGTTGGGATTCTCTTCCCACCATGGATGTCCATACCCCAAACTCAAGGGAGGTCCCTCCAATGAAGATTTTGTACTTTAGCAACGAGTTTCCCGCAGATGACTTGCACGAACTGCTTCGACGACTTCACACCCACAGCAAAGATACACAACATGTTATCCTTGCCCGGTTTATCTACGAGGCAACCTTAGCCATCAAAGATGAGGTGCGCCAGCTGCCCACCCCCTTACGGGCTTTGGTTCCGGCGTTTGAAAACGTCCTTGAACTGGCCAACTACACCGATTTGCGCAAAGGGCCTCTGGCTGGATCTATTGATGGTGTGCTACTCTGTGTAGTCCAGCTGTCCTCACTCATCGGGTATGTCTATCAAACCCATCTCCTTCAAACAGTTTCTGATATTGGTTCTGCAGATACTACGAGAATGCACCCTACGAGTTTGACCATGCCACCGTCAGGACGTATTTAGCTGGACTAGGGATCGGCCTCATGGTGACCGCAGCTATGGCATGTGCCCCCTCTTTGGCCGACATTCCTTCCAGCGGTGCACAGGCCGTTCGATTGGCCTTTCGTCTCGGAGTCCTCGTCGATGAGGTCTCGCACACTTTGCAGCCCCGAGACACTACCGGCTCTCCAGACAGCTGGGCATATGTCCTTCCAGATGTGGCAGTGTCCGAAGTCCAAGAAGAGTTGGACACGATCCACGCCCTGAAGTCAACTCCCGAAGCCAGTAAAATCTTCATCAGCGCCCTCAGCGCCACCTCGGTGACTATTAGCGGCCCACCTGCGAGACTGAAGGCTCTCTTTCGTACCGCGGACTTTTTCCGGGATCGCAAGTTTGTTGCCCTTCCTGTCTACAGTGGTCTGTGTCATGCGAAGCACATTTACAAGGCCGAGGATGTGGCCCAAGTCGTGCAATCGGATACAATGTCTTCCGTCGCTCGTCCCGTCCTCCCTGTGTTCTCAACTAGCACAGGCAAGCCCTACATCGCAGCGACGGCGGAAGAGTTATTCGGACAGATCGTCTCGGAAATTCTTACCCAGCCAATCTGCTGGGACAAGGTGATCCAGGGATTGGTGCAGGAGGCCGATGATCTCGCCGCGTTAGACTGTCGGGTCTTTGTGTTCCGCATGTCCCTCGCCGGCCGCGAGCTGGTCAATGGCCTGACAGGAGCCAAACTGGAGACATCGACTGAGGACGTCATTGCATGGACAACGCAGCCCTCGACAATCCCCTCTACACCTCGAGGCCCCGCCCAGTCCAAGATTGCCATCGTCGGCATGTCCTGTCGTATGCCAGGAGGTGCCACGGATACGGAAAAGTTTTGGGACTTATTGGCCTCTGGGCTGGACGTGCACAGAAAGATTCCCGCGGATCGATTCGACGTTGAAACGCACTATGACCCAGCGGGAAAGCGCATGAATGCCAGCCATACACCCTACGGCTGCTTCATTGACGAACCTGGTCTCTTCGATGCGGCCTTTTTCAACATGTCGCCTCGCGAGGCCCAGCAGACTGATCCTATGCAGCGTCTGGCCCTAGTCACGGCTTATGAGGCGCTGGAACGGGCCGGTTACGTCGCCAACCGCACGGCGGCTACCAACTTGCATCGCATTGGCACCTTTTACGGTCAGGCCAGTGACGACTACCGCGAAGTGAACACAGCGCAAGAGATCAGCACGTATTTCATCCCCGGTGGGTGTCGAGCGTTCGGACCGGGTCGCATCAATTATTTCTTCAAATTCTCTGGGCCCAGCTTCAGCATCGACACCGCGTGTTCGTCGAGTCTAGCCACCATTCAGGTATGTGCCCTTTTTGCATGTAAATCTTCAATAACTGACAATTTAGACCGCCTGTACGTCGCTCTGGAATGGCGAAACCGACACAGTCGTCGCCGGAGGTATGAATATCTTAACAAACTCGGACGCCTTTGCTGGCCTCAGCCACGGCCACTTCCTGACGAAAACACCCAATGCCTGCAAGACATGGGATGCCGAAGCCGACGGTTACTGCCGCGCTGACGGAATCGGGTCTATCGTTATGAAGCGGCTAGAAGATGCCGAGGCCGACAATGACAACATTCTCGGCGTCATTCTCGCGGCGGCCACCAACCATTCGGCCGAGGCTGTCTCTATCACGCATCCCCATGCTGGCGCCCAAGCCTACCTGTACCGCCAGGTGATGAGCCGTGCCGGTGTCGATCCGCTAGACGTAAGCTACGTTGAGATGCATGGCACTGGCACACAAGCTGGCGATCTTGTTGAGATCGCATCTATTAGTGAGGTGTTCGCCCCGGCCACGCGGCGACGCACTACCAAACAGCCGCTACACATCGGGGCGGTCAAATCCAACGTCGGACACGGAGAGGCCGTGGCAGGCGTGACAGCACTACTAAAAGTGCTCATGATGATGCAGAAGGATGTCATTCCCCGCCATATCGGTATCAAGAACTCTCTTAACCCGGGATTCCCCAAGGACCTCGACGCCCGCCAGCTGCGCATCCCCTTTGAGGCCCAGGCATGGCCTCGCCTTCCCGAGAGACGACGCATCGCTATTGTAAACAACTTTAGCGCCGCAGGTGGCAATACCACCGTCGCCCTCGAGGACGCACCCATCCGTACTAGATCAGGGTCTGACCCCCGTTCCCTACATCCTATTACTATCTCGGCGAAGAGCAAGGTTTCCCTGCGAGGAAATCTCGAGAATCTCCTAGCGTACCTGGACACGCATCCGGATGTGTCCTTGCCTGACCTCTCGTACACAACCACTGCTCGTCGATACCACCACAACCACCGTGTGACCGTCGCTAGCGCTGACGTGGCCCAACTCCGGAAGCAGCTGACTTCCTCCCTAGCATCAGTTGACACCCACACATCCATCTCCACGACTGGGTCTCCGTCCATTGCTTTTGCCTTTACAGGCCAAGGTGCCTCCTTCAAGTCGATGCATATCGAGCTCTACCACGACTGTCCGCCCTATCGGGCGCAGGTACAGCACTTGGACACTCTGGCCCAGCGCCAGGGATTCCCATCGTTCATTCCCGCCCTAGACGGGAGTCACAACAAGGACCACGCACACTCGCCCGTCGTCACTCAGCTAGCTCTCGTTGCCACAGAGATGGCGCTTTCCGCTTACTGGGCAACGCTCGGCATCACCCCAAGCGTAGTCATCGGACACAGTTTGGGCGAGTACGCCGCACTGCACGTCGCTGGTGTGCTTTCAGCTAGCGACGCTATATTCTTGGTGGGCTCGCGTGCGCGCCTCCTGGAGGAGAAATGTGCCATGGGTAGCCACCGCATGGTTGCAGTACGAGGGTCCCTGGAGACCATTGCCGAATATGCCGAGACATCCTACGAAGTCGCTTGCATCAACGGCCCTACCGACACAGTTCTCAGCGGCACGCAGGCAGAGATGGACGCTGTCTCGACGCAACTGCAGTCCAAGGGTCTGAAATGTATGAGTCTGGACGTCGCCTTCGCATTCCATTCGTCCCAGACAGACCCAATCCTCGACGACTTTGAGGCCCTAGCCGCGACCGGCGTGCTCTTCCAGACGCCAACTCTGCCGATCGTGTCGCCCCTCCTAGGCCGTGTCATCTTTGACGAGAAGAGCGTCAATGCATCGTATGTCCGTCGGGCCACGCGTGAGTCTGTCAACTTCCATTTAGCCCTGGAGTGTGCCCAGGAGATGGGTCTCATCGACGATACGACCGTCTGGGTTGAGATTGGACCTCATCCGGTGTGTCTTGGGTTCGTCAAGGCAACTCTCGAGAGTGTTGCTGTGTCAGTTCCGTCGCTACGTCGCGGTGAGAACGCTTGGTGTACCCTGGCACAGAGTCTGACCACACTGCACAATGCCGGCGTCCCTGTCGGATGGGGCGAGTTCCATCGTCCGTTTGAGCGCTCTCTGTGTTTGCTGGACTTGCCAACCTATAGTTGGAACCAGAAGAATTACTGGATCCAGTATAATGGGGATTGGGCTCTCACCAAGGGGAATACCTTCTACGAAGCCGAGAAAAAGGTAATTTCTCCTGCTCCTAGCAGCTTCCTCACGTCGACAGTACAGCAAATCGTCGAGGAGACTATCCAGGGAGTCACCGGTCAGGTCGTCATGGAGTCAGACCTGATGCAGACAGAGTTCCTAGAGGCGGCTAATGGCCATCGAATGAATGACTGTGGGGTTGTTACATCAGTATGTACCCATTTCATTCCCCCTTTTTTGACATGAAAATAGACTAACAGGAGAGCAGTCCATTCACGCTGATATTGTCTACACCCTTGGCCGTTACCTTCTGCAAAAGATGCGGCCCGATCTCAAAGACCCGCACATGAACATCGCGAACCTAGAAGTGCTCCAAGGGCTCGTCGCGCAGAAAGATCGCAGCAAACCTCAGCGCATCCGCGTGTCCGCCGCCACAGCCGATATCAACTCGGGCCTCGTCAGTCTCCACTGGTACAACCTGAGCCGAGGGGATGCCAACGACGCATTTGCCAGCGCGACACTGCTTTTCGAGGACGCAGATGCGTGGAAGACGTCGTGGTCGCCCCTAGCGCACCTGATTAACAGTCGGATCGTGGAACTCGGCCGTCTGGCAGAAACTGGCCAGGCGACGCGGTTCTCGCATAACATGGCATACCAGCTATTCGCCCACAATCTAGTGGATTATGCGCCACAATACCGAGGGATGAAGTCGGTGGTTCTGCACGAGCTAGAAGCCTATGCCGATGTGGTCCTGGCCCAGAATGACCATGGAACATGGACAGTGCCGCCGTTCTTCATTGATAGCGTGGCTCATCTGGCGGGATTCATTATGAACGTGTCGGATGCCGTCGATACCAAGAATAACTTCTGTGTCACTCCTGGCTGGAATAGTATGAGGTTTGCGTGTCCGCTTGTGGCTGGTGCTTCTTACCGTTCATATACCAAGATGATTCCGACACCAGAGGATCCGGCGGTATATCTGGGCGATGTTTATATCCTTCAGGAGGGTGTCATTCTCGGCATGGTTGGAGGTATCAAGTTCAGGAGATACCCACGTATCCTACTCAATCGATTCTTCTCGGCTCCAGATGCTGGCGCTGCATCGACATCTGCATCGACCGTGACCAAGCATGTCAAGCCTGCTGCTGTGTCTGGACCTGTGGTTGCAGCAGTCTCTAGGTTACCGCCAGTAGCTACAGCTCCAGTTGTATCGCCGCTGCCTGCAGTTCCAGTGACAGCTACAACAACGGCAGTGCCGATTCCAGCGCCCACTACAGCTCCCGAGACAAATCCCGACAGCACCACGGCCAAGGCAATCGCCCTCATCGCCAAAGAGGGCGCGCTCGAGCTCTCGGATCTGTCGGATGACGCCTACTTTGCCAACTTGGGTGTCGACAGTCTGATGAGTCTGGTGATCTCAGAGAAATTCCGCGACGAGCTAGGTATCACTGTCAGTGGGAGTCTGTTCTTGGAGTATCCGACAGTGGGGGATTTGCGAGTGTGGTTGGAGGAGTATTATAATTGATTTTGAGTCTCTTTGCGTTTTGAATTAGATGAAATTGACATGTTGTAAATTTAACCATCGTGGCCAAAGAAAGTATCTCGCTCCCCTCCTATGATTCTGCGCGTAAAATAGGCCAGTTGAGTGGTGCTGTGATGTTGGGGAAGGGAAAAGAAGACACCTGGCCAGTGAACATAATCCAATTTCAGGTGTTGTAGTCTTTGGCTCTATTTTGTTTGTGAATCTTCCAACGTTGAATCCTTGAAGGAGCTGACATGCTGATCATTCACTGCTACCTTATTCTCTCCAATCTTGATCAGTTACGCGAAATACATATTTTGAGAAGTTCCCTCTAGAAATCAACCAGTATGTCTTGGTGGAGCTATCTGAGGATAATAATCTCAACTTCTTCTGTACCTACCAGTTCTCCATGTACGCTCGATCAAGTTTAAAACCCTTCAGGACAATGAGAGATACTCCGCAACAGCCTGCTGCACCTCAGATCTAACCACTTTGTGAGTGGCATTAACTGGGAATCCTGACAGCCCAATCTGCTGCAGCGACAGGATTCGATCTAGCGAGTAGTCCTGACCCAAGACATCCACAACATGAGAGCGTATCTGGTCTTCGGTCTTACCATTCAATTCACTGAGCACAGCAATCGGTTTGGGATCGGTGGTAGGATATGCGACAACAGCAGCCTACAAAACCATGCATCAGATATCATATCGATCAAACGGGAGATTTTCCTCCTACCTGACCCCCCGTGTATTTCTCCAGACAGCTCTCCACTGCCGCCGGCATAATGGTCTTCCCTCCCCTCTGGATGGCATCTTTGGCCCGACCCAAGATAAAGACCAGCCCGGAAACATCCATGACGGCCACATCGCCCGTGACGAACCATCGTCCATCATCCCCGACATAAAACGCGTCGTCCCCACCACCTAAGAGATACTCGTGGATGATACTCTCACATTGGACCTGCAACTCACCAGGTTGACCACGCGAGGCGACAGTGCGTCGATCTGCGTCCCAGATCCGCAATCGGGTTCCCGCCGCCACAGCCCCGGTCGGACAGATCTCGCCGAACAGCGGAATTTCCTCGGTGGCTTTAGTGAACGGCCACTCGAAAAAGCCCAGACCCTCTGTCATACCATGGCTGATGCAGATCCGGGCTTCGGGGAACAGGCTCGCACAAGTACGAAGCACATCATGTGTGATGGCATCTCCACCAAGGTGCACGGTGCGGACCGAGTCGGTTATTGTGGACTGGCCGTCCAGCTCGCCGGCTAGTGCATGCACCATAGCGGGCGAGAGAACCAGAAATGTCACGGTGTGGTTCCGCAGCGCTGTTAGGGTATCCGCGACAGCGAAGCTCTGCTCGGCCATGATGACTGTTCCGCCCTGTCGCCAGGTCTGCAAGGTATGTGCGGGAGCGATGGCACGCGAGTTGTGCGCTTGCTGCAGCACGGAGGTCGCGTTTTCTGGCGTAATGAGCCATGAGAGATGCTCGAGGACGTGCGTCATGGCGGCAACGCGCTGCGGACAGCCCTTGGGTCGGCCAGAGGTGCCGGATGTGAAGAGGATCGAGTGGATGCGATCTGGGTCGTGCTGTCGGGCGAGTTCGAGGAGACTGGTCTCGTCGATGGGGGCAGTTTGACCCTGGATGACGAGCTCGGAGAACGAAACCGAACCATTGTCGGGTCCGTTGCTCGCGCTCAGGGAGATGTGGAGGGGTGGTGGTTGAATACACTCATTTATGATCTCTGCTCCGTACCCATCGGGCGTGACAATAATACCCGGTTGGAGGTCATTCAGGATCGGTATTTGGGACTTGTCCAAGAGGGACACATCCAACGACGAGAAGGGCAGTCTGAGCAGCGCACACGCCCACAGGAGAATGGCGTACTCGCCACCGTTGGGGATTAGTGTGAGAATGCGGGTACCGGGCCGCACGCCCCGAGCCTGGAGACCCGCTGCGAGCGCAAGCGCCGCTCCATGCAATTGTTGATATGAGAGCGTGAGACATGTCTGATCGGCAATATTCTCCTCAATAATATCGACAAGATGATCCGAAGGTTGGTGGATGCATACCACAGCCGGGGTATGGGGTCCCCGACGTAGTCCCTGCTCGATGTGCCAAAACACCGAGGGATGGTCATTGACTAGGGGGCCAGCGTCAATTTCGGATATTTCTGCCATTGTTGAAATTTAAGATTTAGACCAGAACGATAGTAAGATTCCCCCTTACATCTTCAGTCTGATTCCAAAGGGATTTCTTCTTTTATAACGCATGAGCCCTCTCTCGGGATCCGACAAGTTGTCGAGCGCCATGTCGCTCTCCGGGGTTGACTAGTTCGACTCCAAAAAAAAGAAATTATGCTTTGTGTATTCATAGACTCTTACATATAATATATCTACACTACAAAAACACCGAATGAACTCGAGAGTGACAATGGACAAACTCGAGGGATACGCCCGTCAACTCTCCGACGCAGCCCAAGCCCTAACCGCCTACAGTCGCCTTCTCCATGGACCCTTTCTCTCTACAAAAGCGCCAACAGAAATCCAACAGGCGCGACGGTTAATTCTCTCCAATCTGACCCAGATTCAGATCCTCCTCAGTGAACCGGAGGCCTTTCTCCAGCAGCTAGCGACGCAGGTTGGTTCTTCTATTTATCTTGTTTCAATCAACATTTCCTTCTTCAAATTCTAACCCATTCAACAGAACCAATATCTTGCCTGTATTCACTGGCTCGGCGAGTTCCAAGTATTGGCCTGCATCCCCCTATCCCACAGTGTCCCCTTCGAAGATGTGGCCGAACTAGCGGGGATTCCGGAGTCACATCTGCGTCGGGTCGTCCGCATGATAGCGACAACGGGATTCCTGCAGGAGCCTGAGCCAGGCCACGTCGCGCATAGCGCCTTGTCAGCCCACTTTGTAACACGACCGTCGTATCTTGACGCAGCCATGTTTCTCGCTGAGACGGCCGCCCCGGCTGCCCTGCAGATGCCCGCCACTAGTCGGGACCCCGCCTCCGCCTCTTTATTGATGACTACAGCTTCTGGACAGCAGCCCAGGGTCCAACGGCAATGGTCCGCCTACCTGCAGTACGGACTGGGCCACACGGATGGTAATGCACTAGAGCCGCTGGATCAATTTGACTGGGCGGGGTTAGGAGGTGCGACTGTAGTGACGGTAGTTCTCTCTTTCTTTCTTTCCCTCTCTCTCCCTCCTTACTGAGGTCTAGAATATGAAAATCTACAGGCTATAAAGACTAACAGGTTTTAGTCTGGAACACGCGCTGTTCCCGCCATCCGCAGCCTAGCAGAGCGATATCCAACCCTCCTTCGACTCATCGTCCAGACCGACGGGGATCTCGGACCTGATGGAATCTGTCCGCGCATAACACCTCAGAGCCGAACTCCAGGCACATTACAGAATGTCCCCGATGCGGATGTCTACGTTATCGGACTGCCGTCTCCCTCACCCGCACTCCCTGTCTCAGCCATCCTCGATCAGATGGCATGTGAGCTCCGCGCTCATCTACCTGTAGCGCGGGCTGCGCGACGTCCCGCGATCTTGATGCTCGCTCCTCGCTTGCTATGTGATCAGGGCTCCTCGACGGAGTCAACTGGCCAGCTCGTGGCTCGGTTGCACGACCTGTCGCTTTTGCAGCTCGCCAATGAGCGGGCGATGGAGATGGCTGAGCTGATTCAGATCGTTAACAGTATCGGGGATGGGACGGGTCGTCTAGGGGTGGTACGGCGGATGGGCACCCCTCATACGGCGGGTGTTTTGTTGGAAGTTCGATATCATGCGTACGGCAGTGATCGGTAATTTCATTTATTCCCAGCGTTGTTGCAAATCAGATTACAAACATAATGACCTATCTTTCATTCCTATAATATAATTAAGCCGGAACACCTGTAGAGTTGTCAAGTCGCAGGATGTCCGTATGGACCAGTGCTGAAACCCCCAATTGATATATTTTATTGAAAACTCTATGCATACAAATGACATGAATTGGGCCGGTGAATCACCCTACCTCTAGTGAGAAAATACTACCTCTGATCGACAAGTCTAGACATAAAAGACATCACCTCCGCAGAATATCAACTATCTCCAAAGATAACGCCCGAAGCCGCTGTCTCAGGTCTAGCTCGAGCTGATGCAGAACCGTTGACGAGAACGGACCGTCCCCCGTACTCTCCTCGGGTTGGTACCGTTTTAACTTGGCAGAGAGCGCATTGACAAGTTTCTGCACGCGGTGCAGCTCACTGAGCACCGATTGCGCTGTCAAACGACAAGGATCCTCAGTGAGTGATCCCGCGAAAGCCACGTCCCGTTGCGGGTCCGAGCTCAGTCCTCTAGCAGCGGCTGCATACCAGTTCATGACTTTAAAGGCGGCCATGAAGACCATTACTAGTAAGAAGCCGTCGTGGGCACATAGACAGTGCAACATGTGCGTGATGGCATCGACGGTCCTGGCATTGGTGGCCACGATGGATTCCGTCGTAAGACCCTGGTCCCGGGACGGGCTGTGCGTTTGTGTGCAGGTTGCAGAATCCGGGGGAAGTAATTGGCGAAACAAGTCCAGGGCTTTGACGAGACAGCTACAAGATGAGTTATCGGGGGTTGTTTTGCCATTGGTTGAATCCCTTGAGTTGGGGTGGGTGGTTGGTAAAGAGTCAATTGGGAGAGAAGAATATTCCTCCTCAAAAAGGAAAGAAGCCTCTAGATAGCTCCCATTGGTGTGTCCTTGGGCGGATTGATTGGAGGGCAGTAGAGTGTCGGATGGGTCGAGGAGAGGGAAAGAGCTGGGTGAGCCGAGGAATGTGTCAAAATCGACGGTCAGGCCGGTCAAGCTGGTCAACTGGTCTGAGTCGGAATAGGAGTGTAGTTGAGAGAAATAATCCAATGTTGGGATGGGAGTCTCTGACACAGACCATTCGGGTGTGCACAGGGGTGGATGTTGGGGCGAGTTGCTGGATGCGGTACTGCTACGGGCCCGAGTCTTATCGTGCTTGCGTCCGGCGCGTCGAGTAACTAGATACTCGCAGGCCAAACCCCGTTTTGCACATCGGGCGCAGGTCGGCTTGTCCCGATTGCATTTTACCTTGGAGGCCGAACAGGCGTTGCAGCTGTCCCGCAGCTTGGGACGTGTTGGAAGGGGGGCAACTGGTGTGGATTCCATGACTGGGAAAGGAGGAAGAATCATAGAGAGATGATTTCGCTAGTGCATAATTGATAGAATAAACCAGTCTAAGCTTGACGGTTTCTCCTCGATATAAGCAAACTCCTTCGTCCGCTCATGGGGTATGGAATCCAAGAGTCAGCAAGGCTATTGGTCTAGAGCTGCATCATATATGGTGAGAAAGATCCTTCGCCCCCTAAAATGGCTGTTGAATAGTCAGCATACACGATCTCTCTATGGCTGGATCATAAAAAGGTGAGAATAGGTTCTTGGCCCACGGGACAATGAGAATCATCAACACGTAATATTTCTCTGGAGATGCATGTTGGATCGTGAGGAATACGCCACCCCAATCTCGGCCTTCCAGCGGAGATGAATAATGCAGGTATAGGAAACCTTGGAAGATCCTTCGCCAAGAGTACAAGCAAATACAAGCAAATCACATAGGTATGTTGTCGCGAACTCCCAATAGAAAGTCACACAAGGTCTCAGGCCTACTCGCGTTTTTCTCGGGTTAATGAGAGGGGAAGGTTGTATTGTACTTTTTTTTTTTTAGCTGCATATAATCTATGCACGATGCTATGACCACTTTAGCCACGGGGAACGAGGATAAAAAATGTAACCTGGGAGATGTAGTATAATTTGACGCTTTAAATCTACCAAGACGCGCCAATGTTTTGATCCATGATCGAATTGCTTGTTTAATTGGCTCTATAATAGGGCACGTTTTGAATCATATTTATAGCAAGCCACACACGGGCAGATACGAAGCCCCCGATCAGACTTTTATTTATTTTCGCCTGAAGAGGAAGGGTTCAGCATGAACGCCTTAGACGCTGTCAGCATGAAATCCAAGCCACCCCATCCCCCTATCGCTCCGTGAGATGACGGACAGGCCGAGGCTTGTTTCAGGCGCTTTTATCTCGGGGTATGCCATCTCCAAAACCCGAGCTAAGCTAGCACACTGCCTGAGGTCTATCTCGGTATCTACTCCGTAAAATGGGATTTCTTGATAAATCGTCCAAGACCGATACCACCGATACCCCGGATTAGCGGTAGTTTCAGGCGAAGCAAAGTCTTGCTGGCCGCAAAATATGCGAGAGAAACGCGCAACTCAGACGCACTGAGGTTACATCTACATTCTTCAACCCCCGACTTCGCGGAGTAGTATGGGTGGTTATTGGCCGTTAGTGAGACCCTGCCTCCGCTATCGCCACCGAGAGGCCCGGGGCGACCAGGGAAAAGGAAGGCTTCGTATCCGGCCTTGCAGCCTTCGCTTATAGTAGTCAGAATCCTGCGAAGATCTTATTCTGGTTAGGGATACTTCATGCAGGATATAATCCCTTTGTCTATCGCTTTATCTTCATGAAATTTTCGCTTGACTATACTGTAAGAATGCTAGCTTGTCTAACGGCCCTAAATTCCCCGGGCCTACGCATCTGCATCACACCTCTTACTACATTCGGATGCCTTTTCCAGCATATTTGCCTTGCGATACTGGTTTTGGATCAATTTTCTCGATGTATTCTATCGGGTGGTCTTTTAAGCCATTATGAGTACGTTTCTCTTTTAGGGAAATGCCCCTTACTGGATAAGAGGCCCAAGCTAGCGCTTATAAAGGCTGATTAATAAGAGAAGCTTAATTAAATCAGCTAAAATATAAATGTGAAGACCTGAATAAACCTTTAAACATTTAATAAAAAATAAGCCATGATTTTCTTCACGTGGGGGGACCGTGGTCTTATATTAATTCATGTAAACGAATACGAAAACGGTAGCCGCTATCATAACCACTATATAGTTTCTTTTATACACAGGTTGGGTAATACACGGACGGTTTTTCTAAATAAATTAGTGAAAGGACTCAAAAACAAATATTTAGGCTTAGCGCTATACTTTGTAGTGATTTAGCGACCTAATAGCCTATAGGTAGAAAACTACTATACTATTTTAGTTCAAATGGCCCTATATAAGACATGAAAATTAACTACCAGAGATAAAGAATGAATGTGTACAATTGGAATGTGTAAAAGGCTTAAAGTCTAATATAGAGGAATCAGGCTATTATATGTGGAAGCTCGCTACCTTTTACTATAGTGATAGTAGTAGAGCTTTCCATACTACAGCTTCGTCATCCATTCCTACATATACCCTACATCTAGGTTATATCGAAGGATAGTATTTTAATTCGGGCTACGTTTCAACTACTTCTACCGGCGGAATCCGTTACTCTCTCCATTTCTCTATGATTCCATTCATTGTTGCCATTACAAATTGTATCTTACATATAAGGGGTTTATCATCTGTATCTACAGGGTTATGAAGCCTATAAATATGGGCTTCTTGCCAGGAATTGTGAGGTTATATAGTTTACAATCTATCTTTTGATCATATACTTCGAGTATCATTTGCAAGATCCTTTATCCCACATACATGCTTTGTATAGTTTCATACTGTGCATGGTAGGTTATGAATGTTTCTTTTGCTGATATAAAGTCCACTGGTTCCTTAAATTTCGCCTGTGTCGGGCACCTAGAAGAAAAAGAGGGCATATACGCGGTGCAGATGACCTTGAAAACATACCATAAAAGCCCATAGAGAAATTCTATGCTAAGGAGAGGCCGCTTCGAAAGTAGCTATAGCTTTATTTCATATATATGTACAGTTGTTGGGCTGCTCTTAACTAGAGCGAGGCTGATCATCCGCCAAAATGTCCGGCAGATCTCGGATATCAGTCGTTTCGTTCGTGTTCACATCTACAAGCCGGACTGCCTCCAAATGAAGTGGGCCTGTGGCCAGAGGAAGAAGCTTGAGTTCGGTCGAGTGGCAAGTTCCTGGGAGGAGAGGGCTAATAGAAACGTAGGTTAGAGAAGTAATGGGAAAGAAACGCAGTAGAGAGTACTCACCCCACACGAATATCTGTGCTCAAGCTAATCAGTTCCACTTCCTGGCCAGCCACACTCTTTTGTCTCGCATGCACGATATTATCGTCAGTGACCGCTTCGGCCACTTGGTCCTCTTTCCGGCTGGTGATAGATGATGATGAAGGCCGAGCAACATGCCCTCGTGGGTCCACGCGTTTCCGCTTGGGGATGGCGATCAAAGCGAACTTGCGAGGAACATTTGATCGATTGACAATAAAAACGTGCCAAGTGAAGACAGAGCCCACTTGCACACGAACAGGTCCGGAGAAAGAGATTGTGATACCCCCATCGGTAACCGAATATGCTCGTTCCCGTAATGAGCTTCGGTGAGAAGGGGTCACACCCACTTGAGTTGACACCGATAGACTGGTAGGGCGGTTGGTCCTTTGCAGCGCTGGACTGGGCCCCCCATAAGTCGGATTTAGGGCGACCGAGAAATCGACATTGGTTCTCCACTGCATAGAAATACGTGGCTTGCAGTCGTCATCCACAAGAATTATTGCCTCGAGAGATATGTCTAGCGTGCTGACCAACGCGGTAGATGAGGGATTGGTCTCTGGGCCATACTTCGGTGTGAGTTTATACATGAGGGTCACGTCATCTCGCGGACGGCAAGAAATAGGAAGAGTCAGGCCTGGTGTGTCTGACAGCGACTCGATCGTTCCCTCGGAGAGCTGAAGATCCGCTTTGTCAAAGGAGACCTCGCAAGCCAGATAAGGGGTGACCTCAAAGTCAAGACTGGCCACGGTCATTGGTATACCAGTGTAGGAGCTCAGCCGAGAGTACCGAATCCTTGTACTTGCGGCGGGCACAACCCGAAAAGGATGGCCGTGTTGTTGCTGAATATTGTAAATCGGGTCTTCGTTATACGTCGTCGGCACAACCCTCAGCAGTCTGGAAGCAGGGAGAAAAGGCTCTTTGTGATTGAAAGATCTGCCGGTGGATAGAGATTGCAGCATATTAGTCGATGCGGGGACGAGTGAGGGGAGATAGTCATCCTCTGAATCCTCTTGACGGCGACCGTCAGCGGGATTCAGACTGGCCGAGGCAATGAATAAGAGTGACGGGTGTTGGATTCGAATACGGGGACGCCCTATCAACCAATTAGTGATGTTCAGTTCATAATATCCAACTCAGGAATTCAAATAACTCACGCAGTATAGTTTCAATGTTCCAAACCAGATAGACATGATTCCCACTGCCTTCATCGCCCTCGAATTCATTAAAGACCACCAAGGGATCCTCCTCTCCGCCGACAATCCCCGAGAATATTATATCTCGAGTTGGCGTGGTATTTTCACCAACTGATTCCGCTGGATCGACGGCAAAGACGTCAAGCTTGACTTCAAGTCGTGGCAGATAGTGTTTCAGGGTCGTTTCTGAGCAATCAGATAGTCTCAAGACAATACGGACGGGCAAAAATTCATCTAATGGCTTTCAATGAGTAAGAGGCTAACCCTGCCGAACCTTTGAAGGTGCATACCAAAGAACAATAGAGACCGTTGAGGGATGGACGAGAGAACAGAAGGGAGATCATCAGCTCCGTCCTCCAGGGCCGAACTCAGGGCATTCTCAATGTCGAGTGCCGGGGCATGAGGCACAACTGTATCGAGAATAGCATGACGCAAGAACTCGCCTGGGATCTCCAGGCCAGGCATTGCAACAACGGATGTCGCAAAGGAGTCAATAGAGTGGCTGTTTGGAGCTCAGGAGATAACCGATAAGTGTTGATACGGTTGACGCGGAACGCTAAAAGCGCATAACCGCGGAGATCATTCATGAAGCTCCGTTTTCACTTCTCTTAGTATCTTCAACACCTCTCACAATGGATCCAAGTGGAATCCCAGCTTCTGCCTTATGGCAAGAGGCGCAAAATGCTGATGGGCGCGTTTATTATTACAACCTACAGACCAAAGCCACACAATGGACCAAGCCTAAAGAGTTGATGACTCCGGTTGAGGTTTGTACTTGACACCAAAAATTTATGAGCTTAACTAACTTCTTTGCAGCTTGCTCTGGCAAATCAGCCATGGAAGGAACACACTACAGATGCTGGGCGCAAGTACTGGTACCACGCTGAAACTAAGCAGAGCACATGGGAGATGCCTGCAGTTTACAAAGATGCGCTTGCACAGGCGCCTGCCCCCCAGGCAGCCCCCGCGTAAGTGCCTTCCCGAATTAACTTCTCTCAATGCTAACCCCATTATAGTGCGCCCTCCTTTGTGGCAGGTGGGACCTCCTTCTCGCAACCTCAGCAACGTGACCGCGAAGACTTTGACCGTGGTGACCGCGGCGATCGGGGATACGGCGACCGACGCGGTGGTTACGGTTCATACGAACCAAATGGCATGGTTGCTGCTTCAGAATACAAGTCGCAGATGGATCCCGACTATCATTCTCTTGAGGAGGCGGAGAGCGCTTTCATGAAGCTGCTCAAACGCCACAACGTGCAGCCCGATTGGACTTGGGAGGATACAATGCGCGCTACGATCAAGGACCCGCAATACCGGGCTCTGAAGGATCCGCGAGACCGCAAGGCAGCATTCGAGAAATACGTAGTCGAGGTTCGCATGCAGGAAAAAGACCGGGCGAAGGAACGATTCGCCAAGCTTCGTGCAGATTTCAACACTATGCTGAAGCGGCACCCTGAGATCAAATACTACAGCCGCTGGAAGACAATTCGTCCGATCATTGAGGGGGAGACCACATTCAGGTCTACCAATGAGGAAGACGAGAGACGCCAGCTTTTCGAAGAGTACATCCTTGAACTCAAAAAGGCCCACTTCGAACAAGAAGCTGTCACGCACAAGGCTGCTATGGATGAGCTAATGAACATCTTGGGCTCACTTAATTTGGAGCCATACACGCGTTGGTCCGAGGCTCATGCTATCATTCAGTCCGACAGCAAGTTCCAAAGCGATGACAAGTTCAAAAGTTTGACTAAGTGTGACATTCTGACTGCCTTTGAAAACCATATCAAGTCCCTGGAACGGGCTTTCAACGATGCTCGCCAGCAGCACAAGGCGGCCAGAGCCAGAAAAGAACGCAAGAACCGAGAGCAGTTTGTGGCCCTCCTCAAGGAGCTCAAATCTCAAGGGAAGATCAAGGCGGGCGCCAAGTGGATGAATATCTGCCCGCTCATTAAGGATGACCCCAGATACCATGGAATCCTGGGCCAGCCTGGTTCGACCCCCCTTGATTTGTTCTGGGACATGGTGGAAGAAGAAGAGCGCGCTTTGCGTGGACCTCGGAACGACGTTCTCGATGTTCTGGATGTAAGTTTTTTTTCGGATTTAATCGAATTTTTGACCACCTATACTAACAAACTGATTTCAGGACAAACGATATGAAGTTACGACCGAAACGACATTTGATGAATTCAATTCTATCATGTCCGCCGACCGCCGCACCTCCAAGATCGACTCTGAGATCCTCAACCTCATCTTCCAGCGTATCCAAGAAAAGGCAATCCGACGCACGGAGGATGAGAAGCATGCCGCCGATCGTCAACAGCGCCGCGCTGTGGACGCACTGCGTTCTCGTATCAAGCGCTTGGAGCCGCCTGTCCGGGTCACCGATACCTGGGCTGAAGTTCAACCTCGTCTTGAGAAATACGAAGAATACAAGGCCCTCGAGTCCGATGAGCTTCGGGAATCTGCCTTTGAAAAAGCGATTCGCCGCTTGAAAGAAAGAGATGAGGATGCAGAGAGGGATCGTGAGGCACACTCCCAAAGCCGTGGAAGTCGGCGGGATTACGACCGTGGTGAACGTGAATACCGCAGTGGACGCGGAGAACGACGAGGACCCAGCGGTCAGGCCAACCGCACCCCGGAAATGGATGCATACGAAGCAGACCGTCGCAAGGCACAGGCCGACCGCGAACGAACTTACCGCAAGGTCAGCGGTATTTCCCCATCTCGTGAACGTCGCGATGAGCGTGGAGACCGTTATCGTAGCCGGGACCGTGACTTTGACCGTCCCCGCACTAGAGACCCAGATCGACGTGAAGACGAGCGCGAGCGCCTGTACCGCACTCGCGGTGATCCCCGTGGAGGTCGTGATGAGCTTGATTATGGTGGCGGTACTGCTGCTGGCGACACTCGCAGTGTGGCCAGTGGTGACCGCCGACGCCGACGTGACAGTGATACCGAGAGTGTGGCTAGCCGGTCTGCCAAGCGGTACCGACGTGATAGCCGTGAGCGGGAGCGCAGCAAGGGTCCGAGAGCCCCTCGGCGCGAACGCTCTGCTATTCCGGAAGAAGAAAGCGAGGATGCGAAGAAGGACGAGAAGGCCATTCACTCTGGCAGCGAGGAAGGAGAGATTGAAGAGGAGTAGATGGGAGTGGATGTTTTCATTCACATTTGACTTCATATGCAAGTAATTTCTGCCCTTCAATGCACATGTAGGATATTGAGCTGAATCTACGCAATCTCATTTGCTTTCTTCCAGTAGCCCTCTCTAGGCATTTAACACTCCGACTTGCCCAACGATAGTCCGGGTTTGCACTCTCGCTTGATTTCGAAACGGCCTCCACCATCTCCCCCATAATGCCATTTAATGCACTAATTACCCTAGCAGATATCTTTTATCAGATCATTGACTTTAGGGATCTCTCTCAGTTTGTATATCCCCCAGTCATCCTTGGCTCGTGGCCTGCTAAGGAAATAAAGGCAGAGATCGAACGGTTCAGCTAACTAGTTAATGAACATGACATATAGGTCATTTACCCATCTATTCTGTGCTAGCGCCAGCATTCTATCTACTCTAACATACCAAAGCGTCCCATTCTCACTTCATCTCTTCAAGCCATGGGGGGAGACTGTTCCGCACCGTTCCCAAGCAAGCAGCCTCCACGCATTGCCCCAGCCCCCCAAATCGCATTTGCCGCCCAGTCAACCCTTCCCCGTAGTGCGCGTATTTAGCCGAGTTGGTCATGATAATCTGTGACTTTGGTGGGATAATTGGTTCTTGAATCATGCACCAACAAGTATCAGTGATGACCTGGGTTCCAAATTTCTCCAAGGCTGTGATCAATCCATCTTTGTAGGCTTGAGTGTAGATTTCACTATTACATGTCACCACCAACATGGTAGATTCACTCTTGATCCGGTATCTGGTGAGCTCCACGAGCTGCTGGATCTCCTCGTATGAAAAATGGGGGTTTCCAAGTGATACGAGATCAACTGATGTGTGCTCTGGCTCTCCTTTCCCACTGGGATTGAATAATTGCCATTGCCTAGCTATATCTGACCGAGTGATGTGGAATTTTGTAGTGTCTTGGAGCTGCGTCTTTATATCGGCTTCACTGCGCGCTTCAATTGTGATGCCTGCAATATGAAACATTGGAGCACTGGAGGTAGTTGCGAATGCCGCTCCAAAGGCTTTCAGATCTGACGTTGTGACCACGCACTTCTCCAGGCCTGAAATTATCGGGATACGATCCGCAGAAATATCACCAGAGATGTATCCCAGGAGAGGGAAAACAGCATCATCGCAGCCTTCTATCGAGTCGCAATGAATCTGTACACGGGCCTTGCGGTGCTCTGTGAGATGAACGCCAGTGTTCAATGATCTTCCAGTCAATGCGACACAAACATCGAGGAAATCGGGACATTTGATGGTTCTAGCACCTAGGACACTATTGGCAAATACCACAGCATTTGACTCAGCCCACATAATATTGTCCCCAAAGTTTGGGGCACTTTGTAATTGGTATGGTGCACAGGTAAAACTCGGCTTTGCACCCATCTCCAAGTATGCTTGGGCTAACTGTTCAGAAGGTGCAGCAATTGCTGGGTCAACACCTTGTGCACGCCACAATCGTCGGTCGATGGAGATCGAATTCAAAGTAGTAGGGATCCGGACTTTGGCACCCCATTCACGTAAGGTCTGTGCAAACTTCAATACCGCTGGCCCAGTGTAAATGCAGCAATCAATGTGTGCTTGTTTCACATCGATTAGCTCGCTGACGTCTTGAATCAAGGCCGTGCGCAGAATCACGCGCATCGCAAATTGAGGAGCTCGGCCATGCATTCCATTTAACATTTCGCGGTCAAGCACGCTAAGCCTGACTGAGGAAAAGTCCGGCTCATTGGGCACACATGGGAGATCCAACGAAAGAGTTGGATACAAGCCCATATTATCTGTCCATTGAATCTGGTCCCCGACGACACGAACTCTTGTTAGATCCCGAAGGGTCGCGAACGATGATCTCGAAACTTGAAGAACGGGAATGCTCTGTTGGAACATTTCTTGGGCAACGATAACTCCAATGGTCAAAATCAACTCCTCTCGCTTGAAGATGAGCGCACAGGGGTGGCTCCCACTTAGAAATAATTCGAGGATCACACAACTCCCGGAACAAGACCCACGGCCACCCGGTATTGCTAGCACTTTGCCTTTTATGGAGTTCCCTGCCAAGGGGTGGTGACTGTCAATCACAATGCCGGTTTGAGGATTCACCCCTCCCCAGAAGCTGAGGGCGACATTGCTTGCAATGACATCTCCCTCGGTCAGCTTGGCAAACCCGGAGAGCGCGCGTCCAGGCATGACATTCTGATGTAAAGATGAGGGTTTGTAATCATTTGGAGTGGGGAGAGCTTACCGTCGATGTTTGATGGCTGCTCATTGCTAAGAAATAGGAATGGTAGCAGATCGAGCCGGGGATGAGATAAAAATGAGGTTGATTCTAAGCTCTGAATAAGATGAGAGATTCCTAAAACATTTAGGTAGTTAATGGGAGAGTGTTGATTGTATAACTGCTATGTAGTGACCTCGGGGTTCATTCCGAGGTCTATATATAACATGGGATTGCTCGTCCATTCCATTTCCAGCCCCACAATTCCTAGGGAATGCTTCAGAATGGAGGGGTAGATGCACTTATCTCGATGTAGACATGTTTTCCCTCAAACATATGTAGTTGTTAAATCGTGTTAAGTGAGCACTAAAATTGGGCGGCCTAAGATCCGATATGTACCTAATATATATCTTGCAAGAGATGGTGTGTGCTGTTTATATCAAAGCAAACTCTGTGAGCCCGAGATTTATACATGTCCCAGCATCAACTTATTTAGATGAGGAAACCCATTTCTAAGAGAACCCTCATGGCTCTTGATATAAATATCTTAAAGACAGGCTTAACTCCCATCTAAGGGTATATATATTTATGGGAGAAATAAAGATGAAGAAAAGAGTTGATTATATAGGGTTGATCTGAGGTCAAGAGGACAGTTGCTCTCTCTCTTCTATATCATTTATAACATCTTCCTTCCTTCCTATCTATGCCTTCTGCTTTCTTCTAACACTCTGTATAGGTACTTGACCATATACACCCGCCAACATGGCTACTCTCTCACTTCCTAGCGCTCAAGGGGGCCATGCGCATCCACGAATCTGCCCTATATGCGGCATAAACGAGCACGAACACAGCCATGAAGAAGAAGACAAAGAGAACTTTCTGAATTCTGTACGTCAGTTAGCCAAGGCCTTGAGGGAAGACAACAAACTCAGAGTTGGCACCGGTCGTATGATTCCAGCAAATTTCAAACCACCACGACCAGGTGTTGATATGCCTCAGTCGTTGTTCGCACCCAGCGTTTCGTTTCACCACGTCCACATGACTTCATTCGTCACATTGAACACCACACCCAATTTTTGATCTACACGCATGGTGCATGTCTAGACAACGGCAGAGCCGGCTTCGCTATTGTTTTTGGAACTACCACCCCTCAAGCGACGCGCCATTTGAGCTTTCCCCCAGATAACCAAGGGCCTATTGCTTTTGGCCTCTACTAATAGTAATCTCCTTGCTTTCTCGCTCTCATTTTGTTCTCCCATCTCCTTTAAACGCTGCTTGCACTAACCCGAGTCCTTTTATGGCAATCTCCTCCTTCCCTCACAAACCTATGGAGATTCTAGAGAACAAATATCATACGTGCCTTTGCGCGGGTTTAAATTTCCATTACAAACAGGTCCAGGGAAGGCCAACGAACTGTCTCAGATCATTACTCTTCAAGTAGTATAAAGCACATCCTCAATATGAACATTGTAGGAGATGAAATATATATTGCAATTGATTCCTCATAGTTGAACTACAAAGAATTGACAATTTGTAAAGGGCTATTTCAACGCTAAGCCTAATTGGTTCCGGTCAACTCCCCCAAGATTAGCACAGTTTGCTCTATAACTGCATGTTGCATTGAAGTTCACTCTCTGCAGATAGTCTCTCTCGCCGTCAGAATTCGCTCTTTCATAAATGGGAGTTTGCAAAGAGAAAAGGGAAAGTGACATCTAAAGTCCATATATATATATATATATATATATGCGCACACCTCTCATGAATTAAGGAACAAGACACTTTATAATATAATTATCAATACTACCAAGTAATCTACTTGCGAATCCTACTCCAATACATGTTTTATGGATCTTATATGTTGTACTTTGAAGCATAGAAGACCTTTGCACGACGATAGTATAGTATCATGATGTGTTTATCCAACGGCCAATCCAGGCCAAGAGCCGGTTGCGCCTTCGTTTTCAGGTCATGCTCCAATACCAAATGCCATGTCAGTTTTCCTCTGGAGCTGGAGGGACCCATTGGCCAGGAATGCGCGCAAACAAGCAATCGTGCCGAGCTACGTGCCGTTCTTGCGGCATTACGATGTCGATGGTGGTATCTAGAAGGATCAGAAATGGTCATTGCAACTGATTCTAAATATGTGGTCAATGGCATCACGAGTTAGGTGAGAGGGTGGATGCAGAATGGATGGACGACGCGTATATGGGCGCCAGTTGCCAACCAGGACCTTTGGCTTTACATACTTGGGGAGATTGAACGGGCGGATCGTGGTCGGATGCGTGTGACACTCTGGCGTATTCCCCGAGAATGGAATGCAGTGGCGGATCATTATGCCAAACAAGCTGCTTCTGAGGGTGGGCGTGGTGCATTCAAAGACACCATTGATATGGATGTTTGAAAGCAAAGGCAGAATCTCCCTTCTGAAGATTCGAGGATGAGCAGGCCTAGAGGCGAGCCCTGTTGGATAGATCGAGCGAGCATATGAACATGGCATTCGAGTGCTCTTCTGGCAGATCGTTCGAGAGTGGAATCTAGTGGCAAGTCGACATGCCAAGGAAGCTGCCCACAATGGTGTCGGCCCTAAATTTACGGACATCATCAACATTGGTGTTTGCTCGGACTAAATGTGACCCAAGTTCCAAAGCTAGACAGAATGAAAGAGCATGACCAAAAAGAGAATATGAACTTTTGAGCATCTGTAAAATGTAGGGTTGAAAACTATCTATCTACATGACATAGAGACAATGAACCCGGCAGCTTGTCAGCAGTGACCAGTTCCATGCCATCCCCAGTCTGAAAACAACCTCACCAATCCATTCCGACAGGAAGTCCATCTTTAAACAAATCATAAAATTCATGGAAGAGCTTTTTTTTGGGAACCCAAACCCTCCAACCTAATGCAAACATAAGAACTCCGTTGGAACAATAAACCATGCCGAACCCGATCCACCATTAAATTTAACAGGTGCTAGTGGAAGATCTGTAGACATGTGCTCCCAACCGAGGGCCGATGACTCTGGATAAACAAACCCAGAGTAAATCAAGGCAGGTTGCAAGGCGAACGATATTGGTATTTGTTGATAGACTGACGAATGACAACAGGTCGCAGAAGTAAATGAGCGTACTAGACCAGGGATAGCAGGATGTGAAGTAGATCACTACCTTCTAGTCGGGGTCACTGTTGCCATTTAAATCGTCATCATCGCCATCGTCGTTCAAGAGACCGTCGTCAGCACCGGAAGAGGGCCCGGCGCGGTGACGGAATCCCTTGCCCTGAACCACCGAGGCTCTGCAAACGCCTGGGATCCCCATTAACCACATGATCTTCCAATCGCCGCGGCGCCTGTTGCGCCGCTGCTCAAAGTCGCGGCCATCACGTCTGTGACGGCGGCGACGATGCTCGTTGTGAACGCCCTTTTCAGTTCTCTTCTTCCAAGAAGTACTGTCGAATATAGTTAGCACAGCATTTATGAATAGAATTAATAGCATCCATGGATGACGTAGAAAACTTACGAAGTTACCGGCGAGCTTCTGCTCCTGGTCCATTTGACTGTTGTACTTGTTGATACGAGGGCGGTAGCTGTTGGGATCGCGACGGAAAGTGACATCCAAGCTCTTCAAGAAACGGTTACAACCACCGACCAGGGACTCAGGCGTCTGAGCACGAGCATCCACGGATGGCTGGCCGTCGAAGACAATGACACGATCAGCCAGGTAGGTGGCCATGATGAAATCGTGCTCGACGATGAAAGCGGTCTTCTTGGTGTGCATGATGAAACGCTTGATGACACGAGCCGCGACAATACGCTGCTCTGAGTCCAAGTAGGCACTGGGCTCGTCAATCAGGTAGATATCAGCGGGCATACCCAGAGCCAAGACAATAGCGACACGCTGCAATTCACCACCAGACAGATTCTGAACTTCCTGGTCGATGAAGTCATCCATCTTCAAGGGCTTGTAGACATCAGTCTGGAACTGAGGAGACAGGAAAGCAGTCTTGATACGCTTGAAGAAGAGCTGGCGCACGGTACCCGTGAACTTGGGGGTGATCTTCTGGGGCTTCATGCTGATGTTCATCTTGGGGACGGAGATCAGGCCATCGGGCTTCAATGCACCAGCAAGCATCTTACAGAAAGTGGTCTTTCCGGTTCCGTTCTCACCCATCATGACAACAATTTCGGAGTCGGTGAACTTTCCGGCATCCACCTTCAGGTGGAAGTCACCCAAAGTCTTCTCCATCGAGGGATAGGCGAAGGCACGATCCTTGTCCGCAATGAACTCCTCGCCCGCTTCGGTAAGACGGAAAGTGAGAGATTCCTCACGGAATCGCAAGTTCTCGGTAGGGATGTGACCATCCAAGAAGATGTTGATACCCTCACGGACGGAGGAAGGCAGAGTGACGACACCGTAAACGGCAGGACGACCATACAACACGCAAATAAAGTCGGACAAATAATCGAGGACGGACAAATCGTGCTCGACAACAATGACATAGTCATCGGGGCGGAGGAGGCTGCGGATTGTACGGGCAGCAGCCAGACGCTGCTTGACATCGAGATATGAGGAAGGCTCGTCGAACATGTACCTATATTAGGATTAGTAACGGAATGGACTCAATTGCATGGACATGACAAAGGAAGAACTTACACGTCGGCCTTCTGCACGCAAACCAGACCAATAGCAAAACGCTGAAGCTCACCACCGGAAAGGTGACCGATATCACGGTGCGCAACTTGTCTCAGCTCTGGACAAATATTAGCAAATGAATTCCAGAATATTGGAGTACAGAAACATACCGAGAACATCCATAATATCCTCCTCGTTACCCATCGCAGCGCGCGCCTCGATGAGCTGCTGGACCTGCTGAATAGGTCCCTTCACAGCACGGGGAATCTGGTCAACATACTGAGGCTTCACAACCGCCTTCAAATTGTCTTCCAGAATCTTGGTGAAGTAATCTATTACAGTTAGCAATCTCAAAGAGAGATCATGGTACTTGGGCTATGGTGCTTACTCTGCAGGTCGGAACCACGGAAATACTTCAGGATCTCCTCCCAGTCAGGAGGGTTGTCATAACGACCGAGGTTAGGCTTCAGCTTGCCACTGAGAATCTTCAACGCGGTACTCTTTCCGATACCGTTTGTTCCAACCAGACCGAGAACCTGACCGGGACGGGGCATGGGAAGTCGGTGAAGCTTGAAGCTGTTGGCCGAGTAACGGTGGGTGACTTGGGTCTCGAGGTTGGTGGGCAAGTTGATGATGTGAATGGCTCCGAATGGGCACTTCTTAGGGCAGATACCACAACCGATGCACAGGCGCTCGGAGATGAAGGCGATCTTAGAAGTGGAATCGACTTCAATGCAAAGCTTGCCAGAGCGGACCACGGGGCAAGACTTCTTGCACTCTTGACGACATTTCTGTAGCTAATTAGCCTCCATGAACAGTATCAAATATAATATCGGATCGCATACCTTCGGTTTGCACTGTAAAGTTGGAAAGATGTGGTGTAAGCCAGGTATTTGTAAATCGAGAAAATCCTATTAGTGGGGGTGTTTCGCGACGAACCTTGTCACTGTTGATGATCGCAATACTATAGAAAAATATACCGTTAGCAGGTGATATGAGACTTCAAAATACTTCATAAACATACCGGGTAAGCTTGTCAGACATGATGGGTGGATGTGGTTCAAAGAAACCGTGTGTATGAAGCGGGTTGAAAAAAAGAATCAGCACCAAGGGGAGGAGGGGCGAAAGGTTGAAATTGGCCGAATAAGCGCCGTCGCAGGTAAATGAACTGGGCTCAGCAAAAGCACCAAGTATCTCTGCGCAGACTCGACTAGAAATAAGACAAGAAGAAACACTATCAACGAACGAGGGGCGGCAGAATTGAATGCACTTTGCTTTCTGTGGGCTGTGATGCCTTAGGCCACATCTGCGTCACTTATTTATCAAGGCGGTGATTGGCTGTTGGCCTGGGCTCGGATTGGTGGTTTATCCGAGATCCGCGATTCACGTGACGGGACGTCGTGTTAGGCGCCAAGCGAATCCTCTAGTCCCAATCGGGTCAAGCTGTATTGCGGCCTAATAGATAAGGTGTCTATTCTTCTGCAAACCAAACCGAAGCAAACCCTCCAGTCAGTCCCCAACTCTTAGTTCTTCCAAGTCTCTCGTCTCCTCCTCCCCCAAGATTCCAGCTTCACGCCTCCCCCCACCATTCACTTTCCCACATTGATCGACAGATCCCCCGCTTTCGGGGTCACCACGCTATGGAGTGTAAGTGATTTAATCTTTTCCTCAAGCACAGACGTGCCGACCGAAGCATTCGCCGCGGTACTTCTCCGCGCTTGTCGACCCACTGCACGAATCCTTGAATCCCTCTATTCTGTTCCGATCGGGACAGTTTTCAACTGTCGTTGATCAAGCAGCGTGCTACTGCTTTCTCTGAGTCTGGTTGTGTGTACCAATTTGTCCATTGCTTTGGCATCCAGCCTGGCCGCGTCCATCCCACCCGTTATCAAAAAACATACTCTTTCATCAAAGTCAATATCCTGTCCCATTCTGCTAGTTTTTAAGCTCCATTTGACCGCAATTTGAGTCGCGTGCCATTGTTTTACCCGTCCCTGTCTCTTTCATGCCTCTCCTAGCCCAAATCGAGCTTCAATGCTGACTGCCCCTCGGTAATAGCCTCTGGCATGGTGATCCCATCTGCTCAAGAACCTCGTTCTACCTCGACCATGTCTAATGGATACCCTATTTCCCCCGTCGCCGACGATACCCACGCGGATGGCGATCCAGTAACGCAACGTGAACGCAGTCTGTCCGAGCCCATTGAGTCTCACCCCGTCTCCGAGTCCTCCCCCGAACCCGATGTCGCGGACGACTCATATGACGGCGCGTCTGCGGAGTCAGATGCGGAAGATGAGGACGTAGCGGAGGACAACAGCGATTATGACGCGAACACATACAGCCGTGAAAACTCTTCATCCCCTCACCCCGACCACGGTGCGAAGCGCAAATCGTCACCGGTTAGCGAAACCGACCTGATCAGACAAAATCCCGATCTGTATGGGCTTCGACGAAGTGGCCGTGCTCGCACGACGCGCCATCTCGCCGACTCATCTGATTCAGACTCAGATGTTATCGCACCACGTACTAAGCGTCGGCGCAAAGATGCATCCCAACAACCCTCCAAGGCCTCCCGATCGGCTACTGTGTCGTCGCTATCCGAGTCGGATAGTGACGAGTATGGCGGAAAGAGCGCTCGTGCTAGCAAAGCGAGAAGACGCCGTCTCCAACAGACTACCAGCTACGAACCCTCATTGAACGAGGTTCGCTTCTCAACGCGAACCGCCAAGAAGGTGTCGAATTACAACGAGGATGATGAGGAAGACGAAGCCA